TGTGGTGAGATGTGTTCCACACTGGGCATGCGGACTCAGCAGCAGAGTAGCATAGCGCAAGGGCAGATGTCTTCACTGTGTCTGGTTGTGATCCCCAGGTTGTGCCAGTCATCTTTCGTATGATATTGTTTCTAGCGCCCACTTTTTGCTTGATGTTCAGGCAGTGCTTCTTGTAGGTCAGAGCACGGTCCAGAGTGACTCCCAGGGATTTGGGTGCGCTGCAAGGCTCCAATGGGATTCCTTCCCAGGTGATCCTCAGAGCTGTCTGTTCTTAAGGTGAAAGGCACATGTCTGTGTATTAGATGGGTTGGGGACCAGCTGGTTTTCCCTGTAATAGGCAGTAAGAGCACCTAGAGCTTCGGAGAGCTTCTGTTCCACCATCTCAAAGCTCCCTGCTTGAGCGGTGATGGCACGATCATCAGCATAGATGAAACTCTCTGTCCGTTCTGGCAGTGGCTGGTCATTTGTGTAGATGTTGAACATGGTTGGGGCAAGCACGCTCCCCGGAGGCAGGCCGTTCTTCTGATGGTCTTAATATTGAGGGTTCCTCTTGCTAAACAGAGCACTTGCTGGATTTTCTTGGTGGATCTGTAGATTGTTTCTTCATCAGGAAGAAATGTGTTAATATTTCTTGATCTCAAGGAATGGAGATCAAGAAATACACTTGAGCCGCCAGGACTGCTGACTGACGGTTCAAATCCGGGGAGAGCGGGTTGAGCTCCCTCTGTCAGCTCTAGCTCCCCATGCGGGAACATGAGAGAAGCCTCCCACAAGGATGGTAAAATAGCAAACATCTGGCCATCCTCTGGGCAACGTCTTTGCAGACGGTCAATTCCCTCATACCAGAAGAGACTTGCAGTTTCTCAAGTCCTGACATAAAAAAAAAGTTCAAATGTTTGATAATGCACTTTGCAGAGATTGGGTCACTGGTCAGCCAGGCGGAAGTTGGCGGTCTGGGGTCCAGCAGCTGGAGTTATGTTGAGAGCACCTTTGCTGAAACGCTCCTCTCCGCTTGTGCTTCTTCCTTACCAGGTCCTGGAGAAAAATCCCAACACACCCATGAGCCACAAAGAGATCCTCCATGTCATCCAGAAAGAAGGCCTGAAAGAGATCAAGTGAGTGCCAGTTGGGGGGGGGGGGGGGGGGGGGGGGGGGGCTGCTGCCGTGTGTCCAACGCCGAGGGTTTTCAGTCATGAGTGGAGGGGAGTGGGGAGAAAAAGAGGAGGCAAATCTATTGGGCAGTCATGGGCCAATTCTGATTTACTGTTTTGTATTGATTGTTTTTGTTATTGCCTTTGTTCACTGATGTAGTGTGGGCTCGGCCTCATGTAAGCCACACCGAGTCCCTTGGGGAGATGGTAGCGGTGTATCAATCGAGATTATTGCTGTTGTTGTTGTTGTTGTTGTTGTTGTTTTGCCTTGCTGAATACTTAAAAGGCTTTTCTCTCTCTCTCTCTCTCTCTCTCTCCCCACCCCCCTTCTGCTTCTTCCATTGTTGCCTGTTCTTCCTTTGGATTTCAATCAACCCCAGAAGGTAAGAACCATTGTTGATTTTATTTATTTGTCGTGTCAGCACAACCAGTCAAGTTATATTACATTTCTAACAGAACAAAGCAAACAAACAGAGAAAATACAAAATGTGTGAGTTTGGTAGTTGATTAAATGTCCTTTGACCAGTATCTGGCCCCTTGGAGTGCCTCTGGTGTTGCTGCAAGAAGGTCCTCCATCGTGCATGTGGCAGGGCTCAGGTTGCATTGCAGCAGGTGGTCAGTGGTTTGCTCTTCTCCACACTCGCATGTCGAGGATTCCACCTTGTAGCCCCATTTCTGAAGGTTGGCTCTGCATCTCGTGGTGCCAGAGCGCAGTCTGTTCAGCGCCTTCCAAGTTGCCCAGTCCTCTGTGTGCCCAGGGGGGAGTCTCTCATTGAGTATCAGCCATTCGTTGAAGTTCTGGGTTTGAGCCTGCCACTTTTGGACTCTCGCTTGCTGAGGTGTTCCAGCAAGTGTCTCTGTAGATCTTAGAAAACTATTTCTTGATTTAAGGGTTTGACGTGCTGGCTGATACCCAAACAGGGGCTGAGCTGGAGATGTCACTGCCTTGGTCCTTTCACTATTGGCTGCTACTTCCCGGCAGATGTCAGGTGGTGCAATACCGGCTAAGCAGTGCAAAAAACACCACTGGAGAAATTACACTACCGTTGTTGATGTTGACATCTAAACGGACTTCAATGTAATGGTGGATGAACATCACAGCTGTTTATTTCACTTACAGTTCTTTCTAGGCCTGCTGTAGGCCTCATGGTTGCCTCACATTCCCTTTCCTTGCAAATCTGTCTGGATGGAGGTGTTCACATTGAATTCATGTAGGCAGTGCAAGGCACCCTCAAGACTGTGTGCATGATAATTGGGGGGGATACAATAACAAAGCAGTGCCGCTCCTTTTTGAAAATGTCAGGGATTAGACAGTCCAATAATATGCTGTGTCCAGGTTGGTTCATCAGGTGCTCTGCTATGGCTGATTTCTCTGGTTGAACCCACCTGGACACAGCACATTATTATTTGAGAACACAGACATGCTGGACCACTCTCACAACCACCATGTCAGGCTACACAGAGAAGCCATTGAAATCCACAAGAAGCATGTAGACAATTGCAACAGAAAAGAGGAAACCATGAAAATGAACAAAATCTGGCTACCAGTATTACAAAACTCTTAAAATTACAACAGCACAACAACAGAGAGGAAATAAACAAGGACATCTAATCACCTCTCAACAAAAGATTTCTCCAGCCACTGCCAGGCCATTATATGCTAATCAAGGGGGTCAGTGGAAACATTTCCACCTAGCTCCAGCAGACAAGAGTCCTTTGTCCCACCCTGGTCATTCCACAGATATATAAACTCCTTTTCCTAGTTCCAACAGACCTCACTACCTCTGAGGATGCTTGCCATAGATGCAGGCGAAACGTCAGGAGAGAATGCCTCTAGACCAGTGGTTCTCAACCTTCCTAATGCCGTGACCCCTGAATACAGTCCCTCATGTTGTGGCGACCCCCAACCATAGTATTGTTTTCGTTGCTACTTCATAACAGTCATTTTACTACTGTTATAAATCATACTGTAAATATCTGATATGCAGGATGCATTTTCATTCACTGGACCAAACTGGGCACAAATACCCAATACACCCAAATGTGAATGGTAGTGGGGTTGGGGGAGGACTGATTTTGTAATTTGGGAGATGTAGTTGCTGGGATTTATAGTTCACTTCTAATCAAAGAGCATTCTGAACTCCACTAGCGATGGATTTGAACCAAACTTGACTCCCATGACCAATGGAAAACACTGGAAGGGTTTGATGGGTATTGACCTTGAGTTTGGGAGTTGTAGTTCACCTATATCCAGAGAGCACTCTGGACTCACGCAATGGTGGATCTGGACCAAACTTGGCACGAATACTCAATATTCCCAAATGTGAACACTGGTGGAGCCTGGGGAAAATAGACCTTGACATTTGGGGGTTGTAGTTGCTAGGATTTATAGTTCATTACAATCAAAGAACATTCCGAACTCCACCAACGATAGAATTGGCTCAAACTTCCCACATGGAATCCCCATGACCATCAGAATATACTGTGTTTTCTGATGGTCTTTGGCGCCCCCTCTGACACCCCTTCGCGACCCCCTCAGGGGTCCCGACACCCAGGTTGAGAAACACTGATTTAAAGATCGAACTGCAAAGACTCTGGCACAAGCCAGTCAAGGGAGTCCCAGTGGTGATCGGCACACTGGGTGCAGTGCCTCAAGACCTTGGCCTGCACTTAAACACAATCGGTGCTAACCAAATCCTCACCTGTGAGTTGCAAAAGTCCACCTTACTGGGATCTGCACGCATTATTCGCCGATACATCACAGAATCCTAGACACTTGGGAAGTGTCCGACGTGTGATCCAATACAACAGCCAGAAGAGTGTCTGCTGTGGACTCATCTTGTTGTGTTTCCAATAATAATAATAATACTCAATATTCCCAAATGTGAACACTGGTGGAGTCTGGGGGAAAATAGACCTTGACATTTGGGGGTTGTAGTTGCTGGGATTTATAGTTCATTACAATCAAAGAACATTCTGAACACCACCAACGATATAATTGGCTCAAACCTCCCACACAGACTCCCCATGACCATCAGAAAATACTGTGTTTTCTTATGGTCTTTGGCGACCCCTCTGACATCCTCTCATAGAATCATAGAATCATAGAATCCTAGAGTTGGAAGAGACCTCATGGGCCATCCAGTCCAGCCCCATTCTGCCAAGAAGCAGGAATATTGCATTCAAATCACCCCTGACAGATGGCCATCCAGCCTCTGCTTAAAAGCTTCCAAAGAAGGAGCCTCCACCACACTCCGGGGCAGAGAGTTCCACTGCTGAACGGCTCTCACAGTCAGGAAGTTCTTCCTAATGTTCAGATGGAATCTCCTCTCTTGTAGTTTGAAGCCATTGTTCCGCGTCCTAGTCTCCAAGGAAGCAGAAAACAAGCTTGCTCCCTCCTCCCTGTGGCTTCCTCTCACATATTTATACATGGCTATCATATCTCCTCTCAGCCTTCTCTTCTTCAGGCTAAACATGCCCAGTTCCCTAAGCCGCTCCTCATAGGGCTTGTTCTCCAGACCCTTGATCATTTTAGACGGGACCCTTGGGGGTCCCGTCCCCCAGGTTGAGAACCACTGCTCTAGACCATGGCCATATAGCCCGAAAAAAACCTACAACAACCCAGTGATTCCGGCCATGAAAGCCTTTGACAATACAGATCTTCTCTTGCCTCTGGAGCTGCCCCATGCTGAATCTGCCCCTCTTTCTTAGTGTAGCTGACCTGATTCACACAGAAGTTGGCTTGTAGCAAAAGAGACTTTAGCAGGGAGAGGGGGTGTTTCCGCTTCCATCCTGGGATATCTCAGCGTAGGGGACTCGTTCTTGGCCGAGCCTGGCCTTTCCCCTCCTCTCACCCTTTCTTTCTCCTCTTAGCGGGACCTCTCCCCTCGCCTGCCTGAATGCGATGCTGCACACCAACTCCCGAGGGGACGAGGGCATTTTCTACAAGGTCCCCGGCAGGATGGGCGTCTACACCCTGAAGGTAAGTTTCCGCTTGGCCTCATCGGGAATGGCTCTGGGCAGCCTGGGCTTCTCTTTCAACCCACAGAGCACTGCGAAGAGTGGTGGGGAGGGTGTTGATGCACAGTGGCCCTTAGAGTCGAGTCCTTTTTGCTTCCCAATTCAGGCTAGGAACCGAGGAGGTGACAGTGACCAATGCGAGAGATTCCACTTTGGCAGAAAAAACGAAATGCAAAGATATAGAATGGGAGACGATGAGGCCTGGCTCGAGAGCAGTACGTGTGAAAAAGATCTTGGAGTCCTCGTGGACAGGAAGTTAAACATGAGCCAGGAATGTGATGTGGCAGCAAAAAAAGCCAATGGGATTTTGTCCTGCATCAATAGGAGCCTAGTGTCTAGATCTAGGGAAGTCATGCTCCCCATGCTCTGTTCTGAAGACCTGGCTATTCCGACGTGCCTTTCCAGAATAGGATGACCCAGCACTTTGTCCCAGAAGCACTTTACTAGAGTTTAAGACTCTCTGCACATGGCACTTGCCCAGAATCTCAATATACCTCCTGTCACACCCAGCACTTTTTTAACCTGTACCCATCACTGGCCCGGCCATGGTTTTTATTCTTCCTAAAGACTGCCAACGTGGGTGCTAGTCTAATGTCTTTGGGGAGGTCGTTCCAAAGTCGGGGGGCAACCACAGAAAAGGCCCTGTCCCTCGTCCCCACCAAACGCGCCTGCTATGATTCTATGATTCTTTCATAGAATCATAGAATCAAAGAGTTGGAAGCAGGGCCGTAGCCAGAAAAAAATTAATAGTGTAATAGTGTAATGTCTTGCTATTGCTTATGTTTTTAATTTGCTTTGTTTTGTATTGTTTTGTGTTTTACTGCTGTTGTGTTAAGGCCTTGGCCTTTGTAAGCCGCATCGAGTCCCTCGGGAGATGCTAGCGGGGTACAAATAAAGTTTAATAATAATAATAATAATAATAATAAAAAATGCAAGCAGTTTATTGAAAATGTTTTAAAAGCAGAAGCAGTAAAAAGCACTCCATAAAAATAGGTAAACCCAATTAGGTAGGAAGATAAACAGGAGCAAATAGTCCAGGAAATTAGTCCATCAGAGTTCATGAAAAACAAATACAGAAACTTCCATGGTAAAACTCCAAAACTTGAATCATGAATCTCCAGACCTTTGATCATTTTAGTCGCTCTCGTCTGGACACATTCCAGCTTGTCAACATCTCTCTTGAATTGTGGTGCCCAGAATTGGACACAATATTCCAGGTGTGGTCTAACCAAAGCGGAATAGAGCATGGGGAGCATGACTTCCCTAGATCTAGACACTATGCTCCTCTTGATGCAGGCCAAAATCCCACTGGCTTTTTTTGCCGCCACATCACATTCCTGGCTCATGTTCCCCTTCCTCCCCACAAGGACTCCAAGATGTTTTTCACACGTACTGCTCTCAAGCCAGGCATTGTCCCCCATTTTGTATCTTTGCATTTCGTTTTTCCTGCCAAAGCAGAGTATCTTGCATTTGTCCCTGTTAAACTTCATTGTGTTAGTTTTGGCCCTTCATCTCTCTAATCCAGTGGTTCTCAACCTGTGGGTCCCCAGGTGTTTTGGCCTACAACTTCCAGAAATCCCAGCCAGTTTGCCAGCTGTTGAAGGCCAAAAACATCTGGGGACCCCAGGTTGAGAACCACTGCTCTAATCTGTCAAGATCCCTTTGAATCCTGCTCCTGTCCTCTGGAGTATTGGCTCTCCCTCCCAATTTGATGATCATGCCTTCTTGCCCTTCATCTAAGTCATGAATGAAGATCCTGACCAGGACTGCGGCACTCCACTCGTCACTTCCTTCCAGGATGAAGAGGAAGAAGTGACGAGTAGAATGCCACAGGGTTCCGTCCAGGAAGATTGACCTCTCCCATACCTTCTGCAGCATCACCACCCTACTAGTCATGATCCTGCCAAGCCTTTTGTGTACCAACCACCATCAACTGCTGGACATGACAGTGGCCGTTCTCTGGTGAGGACCATGGGCCCCTTGCATCTCACCTGTCTGTCTGCTTGTCTCTGCCTGCAGAAGGATGTCCTGGATGGGCTGAAAGAGCTATCGGAGGGGTCCGAGGAGAGCAGCGACGCGCATTTGGACTCGCCTGTGTCGGAAAACAGCAGCAGCGAGAGGAGCAACAGCGGGCAGAGCAGCAGTAGCAGCAGCAGCAGCAGCAGCGAGAGGAGCAGCCCCAAGGACGGGCGGAAGAGCAGGTGGCGCCGGAAAGGTAGGCCTCCCCAAAGAGACCCCGAGTAGTTAACATGCGTCTAAGGTGGGTTCCATTTCTCTCGGGTCACTTGCCAGGGAGTGTTGTATCTCAGGCTAAAATTCACCTTGCTTTCTCTGACAAACCAGCCAAACTTATGAAGAAAGAAGTTTA